AAAAAGAACCTTAGACTTGTAAAATGTAGTCTGATGATTGGGCTTCATTGATTCAGACATGCTGCTCATTAAAAAATCAAAATACGATCAGCATGTCCTGTTTCAATAATGGGTGTGCATTGTGACTAATTTTGATATTCGAATATATGAGATGAACAGATATTCAAATATTTTGTTGACCACAGGGAATGAAAAATGGGGCTTTCATCTGACAATAATGTGTCACAATGCACAGACACAGTAAACTGATGCATTGGTGCAAGCAGGTTATAATAGTCAGTAACCTGAGAATTTAGCAACTCCTAGATGTGTACATTTAAAAACATGCCTTATTATCCAAAAAAGCCAATGGTAATCTTTTGGTCACTGTGCTTGAGTATTGGAGGCTGTCCCTTCAGATGAGCTATTGAGCTAATGCTAACACGCAAGCTAACCAGTGCAGTGGTAGACGGTGATGAGTTGTCTACTGCACAGAGTTTTTCCTCCTCAGTCGATGTGCCAAGATATCACAACACATTCTTGACAGTGCGTCCTTGACAACCTTGGTGAATTACTCGCGTTTTGTTGTAGGAAAGTATAATACACTAAATTAATCTTAAATATAGTAAAATTGTTGCAGTTTTGCCGCATTGCACTAAACGTTGGCCTATGTATTTTCTCTCGAACCGTCTGTGATTCAGCATAATAAATACCCAAATAGTGAGATAGTAGTTGGCGATATTCCGAATCATCCAATATAGCGGCTGAAATTTTTCTTAAAGTATGAGGTTTGTCATAACCTCAATACCGATGTAACAAAAATTCAAGCAGATAAGTCACATTTACAACAAGTGCAAAACCTGCTAAGTTTAGTCTGTTCAGCAGATTCAGGGACCTTTCAGTCGCATTTCAGTGAAAATGAAAACACTGCTGTTCTCACCTCCCACTGTGTGTGTGTGTGTGTGTAATATACTCAGTGTTTCCCACAGATATAAAATATACATATGTACTTTGTTGTTAAGGAAGGGGGGGGCGACAAATTTTCAAATTATTTTCAAAACTAAAAAACGCCAAAAATGGAGATACAAGGTTTTCTTCTGACAGCAGTGATGTATAAATTACAAAATTCGTAGTAATATATTTTTTTTTACAGTGATTGCACATGGCTATTACAAATACACAACTTTTCATTTACAAGACTATGTATGTCAGTAATACAAATATTAATAATGCTAAGACTGTCCTTATGTCTACTTTGAGCGTGATTGATGTATTTTTTTCCCTGTGAAATGATATACGATCACGTAAATATACATAAAAACAGAAGGTCTGACCTGCTGCCTGCCTCAGTTTTAACCTTTCATCTTTATTAGTACTGTAAAAGACAATGATTTAGATACATTTCCAAGCCTTTTTGTTTGGCTTTGTTGCACTGCAGCCTACTAGGAATTTAGGGGTCAAATACATGTAGAAAACATGTAGAAGACACAAGCTAGACTTGAATAATGTCTTTTACTCAAACATTGACTGCTGAAATCATCAAAATACACTTTTTCTTAAACTGTCTCTCTCTCTCTTCCTCTCCCTCCCTCGCTCCCTTGATCCCCAACCCAAGCTGCATACATTTAGCGGTCAAAATGTTTTTTTAATGTATTAAAAACAGCTAAACATTTTTTAAACTATTAAAATATACTTTGCTACATGTCCCTGAAACAGCAGAATATAAGCTATATGTGGGAAGCACTGCACACTATACTGTGATATACCAAAACTGTCATTTATTTGAATTATACTGTGATATTATTTATTTTTGCCCATACCGGCCACTACTAACTAATACTGGTGCCTGGAATGGTTAACCAATAGTATCAGTGACCAGTGAGTATCAGTGTAAATCCTTAGTTTCAGTCCACACTGATGAAGGTTTGGAAAGTGTTGTGTTATGTTCAGTAAATGTAATAAGATGTTTGTTACATTTCTTGTAGTGAATCAGTTGTAATGATAAACTAGAAGCTCTGGATGAAGTGATGTCACCATCACTTGTGTGTTGGATTTAAAAAGGTCATTCACCATCAGATGTGTTAGACTGATGCACATACTTACTTCATAATGCCAGTAAAATAAAACTACTTAATAAACCAGGAAATACTTGTGTGGATACGAAGGTGTTGCTGGGTTCAGTCTGTTCATTCATGCTCTTCATGATTTAGAGGCTCTATTTCAAAAAAATATCTTGACTGTGGCTTCACAGCAGGACAGAGTCAGATAATATAAATAAATGTCTCCGAGAACTTCTATTTATATCTTCTGCCCTCTGAATTTCAGCTATGACAATATTACAATTCTTTTATCTCTCCGTTGAGGTTACTTTAGTAGCTTTCAGCCATTTCTGTTCAGTTCCAGCGAAAATAATAATTTCCATTGTTCTAGGCCATAATTAATTAAAGATTAAGCTCTGCCCATGTTTATTTCATCTGGCAGCAGAAAGTGGAGCAGTAGTCCTCAGCTCAATGGAGAAATCTGGTGGAGAAAATGTGCTTGCTAATGTCTGGAACAGTGGTGTGAAAATGGAAGAATTACTATGCAGCCAAGGAATGTCTAGAACAGGACCTCACCCTTGCTCAAAAAGGACTCGAAAGCCACATTACTGATCTTTAAAGACCAAAAAAGAACTAACCCAAGAACAGCATTGCTTGTTTCACTGGTTTCACATTACTGAACCATCCTGGTGCAGCTACAAAACAGCAGCCTCTTTCAGCTGCACAGTGTTTTTTACCATAGATAACTCTTTCTCCTGACCATTGCAGTTCTAATGCTACGTTTCATTTTGGAATTTCTAGGAAGATGTGGAAGGAATGAGCATAAGCTGATTATTTACATAGATTTGCCTACAAGATGCACCGCTTGTACTGGCTTAAAGTTAGATTTTTGTGAAGGAGCAATTACTACTGACATAAAAGTGCTCTGTTTAGCATAAAATACCATAAACTATACATTACTAAGCAAGCAGGTGTGATAAAATGCATAAATGTGGGTACTCTGTATAGTCTGTGTCAAGACTCTACCCAAAGATGCAGCTTCAGTCTGGTGGGACTGCAAAAACCTGGGTTGGAAAGGTTTGTTTCCTGAACTTTGTAAAAAGCACGTCGACTTTTTCCAGTGTGGGGGGGGGCATGCTCTAGCACACCCTCAGCAGTGCAGAGTGTCTGGTTTAAAAAGTTAACGTTTGCACTTAAAGGGATGAACTGAAGAACAAACGGGAGAAGAACTGCTGAGCTGCTTTCCAAGCAACAGTGGATGATGCGATTCTGGATTCTGAGATAAGAAACACTAATATATCATGTTAACAGGAGTATAGGATTTTAGGATCTTCAACAACACTTTTTAGTTTAACCCCAAAGCAGCTATGCCTTGCATCTTTTGGCTGGGCCAAAGACCAGTGCATTATAAAGAGAACATTTAAACACAACACCAGAGTAGCTGTTTCCCCACCAGCACTGTCCGTAATTTAAAAGCTTTTGTTTTTCTGTTTTCTGACGCATTTCTTCAAATGGCCCACTCGATCATTAAAACCATTTTTAACCACATTTTGCTGATAGACACAACAGAAACAAGCAGTGACCAACCTTACTCTAAACAGTCCAGTTTTTCATTTTCTGTTGTTCATAAAAAGTCTGGAACTACATTACATGAAATATATATTAACACAAATCAAAGATGTAGTTCTTTGCTACAGGAGGTTAGCATGTAGAAGCGAGTTTTCCAGAAAATTGTAGTTAGAAAATTATCTTCTTATGTTGGATGAGCATCCTCAGTATACTAATACTCTCAGGGGTTCCCTTGATATTGCAGGTTTGCTGAGCTGAAATATATAATTAATATATAATTTTTATACGCTTGCGTATGAGATATTACTATATTCTTGAAACACATGTCTGAAATTGAATACAATTTTTTATTTGGAAAAAGTTGTCTGTCCATTCTCCTGCCATATTGGTCTGTGTACACTTTTCTTTTTTAGATTTGAAGTCACATATAACTTCTGATTCCGTGGATTAGATTCTGTAGATAGTTTCACAATTGCACAAATAATAAAAGGTCTCAATATGATAATATTCACATTACACTCCTGGAGAACCTTTGTCCTACACATCTTAATGTTGTCCTGCTCTAACAAACCCACTTTAACTCAGGGGAGCTTCCTAACTAGCTAGTTAGTTGCATGAGGTGTGTTAATATAGGAAAAACACCAAAATGTACAGTGGTGGTCCAGGACCAGGGCTGGGCACCACCGTATTATACAAAACCAGTAGGGCCTTCTTACAAAAGGTGCTAGCAGTTGAAGTAACAATTTGTTTTAATCACTTATCATTTGCATAGTTTTTATTTACAAATACATTATATATCAGTGTGTAATGTTTTGAAATATATTTTGTATTTTTTTATTTTGTATTTTATGTTTATTTTTTTATGTGATCCACGTCTTTCAAACAGCAGTTCTAAAATCTGTTTTTACTCTGGATTGAAAGATCTATGCTGTTTAGTCCATTGATACTGCATTTCACCTTTAAGGACATAGACTCTACACATGAATCAAGTACAACATGTATTTGTCTCCCCCCACAGTCACAAATCATTATGTGCAGTCTGTCTGCAGGGCTGTTGGATTTATTAGCAGGACAAACCAGAATGTAATTTACCAAGTAATAAGTAAAATTCCTGCACTATGCTGTAGTTTGCACACTCATTTGTCAACGACCTTCATCAGGCAAATGGATTTTTAGGAACTTTAAGTCTTTCTTATTAATCTTTAATTTAACATTAACTTGCATATTCCCCCGCAGTCATAATGTACCGATTTATATCATTAATACTGCCTTTGTTAAATGACTGTGAAATGGCTGTATTAAGATTTTCTTGATTAATGGATCACTTTCTATTTCTGTGATCAAAAAAAAAAAAGAAAAACTCATCTTGCTGTTTCATCTCTCTCCTTCTCCCTCTTTCTTATCTCTGTGCAGATGCAGCAACTGTTCTATGAAAACTATGAGCATAACAAGAAAGGTTTCATTGAGGAACTTCACAGCAGCAAGATTCACAGTGCCATCACTTTGCACCCCAACAAGCGTCCAGCCTACCAGTACCGGCTCCACAATTATATGCTGAGTCGGCAAATCTCCCAGCTCCGCTACCGTACCATCCAGCTGCATCGTGAGAGCATCATCATGAGCCACCTTAGCAACACAGAGGTGCAGTGGGAAGACCAACAACTGGGGGCGCCACCTTCTTACACTCGTTACCAGCCAACCGAACGTGAAGATGTTATTGAGTGGGAATTCCTGACTCGTAGGCACCTGTTCTCTACTAGCGAGAAGCAAATGCCCAGGCAAGGTCTTGGGAGAGCACTTCACTCTGCACTAGAGGACACAGTGCTCCAGGTGATGGAGATGATAAACGAGAACTCCAAAGCTCGAGGCCGAGTCATTGACTTCAAAGAGATTCAGTATGGCTACAGAAGGCTGAACCCCCTCTGTGGTGCTGAGTACATCCTGGATCTTCTGCTGCTCTACAAGAGGCACAAAGGGCGAAAAGTGACCGTGCCAGTCCGTAGGCACGTCTACCTGCAGCAGTCCTTCAGTCGGCCCTTTTTTCGTGAGACTGAGGAGCTGGATGTCGCCGAGTTAGTGGAGGCCATTAACAGCGACTCTCAGTCCTTTTCATTCCTTTCGAATTCACTCAAGATCTTCGCCCCGTTTCAGTTCTCAGAGTCTATGAAAGAGATTCGAGAGGATAGTCAAAAGAAGGTTCACTTTCTCGTGCCTCTAACAGGCAGGTATGATACATTCTTACGTTTTATGGACAATTTTGAGAAGATCTGCCTTATTTCAAACCAGAATGTGAAACTCATCATCATACTGGTGGAAAATGATAGCAACCAAGATAAGGAAAAGCACTTGGAGCTGATTAAGGACTACCATAATAAATATCCCAAAGCAGATCTGTCTGTAATACCAATGACAGGGGAGTTTTCTAGGGGTCTTGCCCTAGAGATGGGTGCCTCTCAGCTTAGTAATAACTCGCTGTTGTTCTTCTGTGATGTGGACCTGGTGTTCAATAGTGATGCACTCCAGCGATGTAGAGACAATGCTGTTGAGGGGAGTCAGGCTTACTTTCCCGTTGTCTTCAGCCAGTATGATCCAAAAATTGTCTATGCTGGGAGCCGTCCAGAAGACAGCAACTTTGTCTTCACCAAGAAGACTGGCTTCTGGCGAGATTACGGCTTCGGCATCACATGCATATTCAAAAGTGACTTGCTGAAGGCCGGAGGCTTCGACACATCAATACAAGGCTGGGGTTTGGAAGATGTAGACTTGTTCACTAAAGTTATCAACTCCGGTTTAAAAGCGTTCCGCTCACAGGAAACCGGAATTGTGCATATTTATCATCCTGTCCACTGCGACACTAATCTAGAGCCCAAGCAATACAAAATGTGCCTCGGGTCCAAAGCGAGTACATATGCATCTGCGATGCAGTTAGCAGAACTGTGGCTGGAGAAACACTTAGGCATAGGATACAACAGAACTTCCTCCTGACATTCCAGCTATCCATCAATGTCACTGGAGATTACCTCAGTTCTGCATGAAAGCAGCAACAGACTGACTGGCTGTGTATATGTGTGTGTGTGTGTGTGTGTGTGTGTGTGTGTGTGTGTGTGTGTGTGTTTGTGTGAGCGTGTGGGGAGGGGTCTAATGTGCAAATGTGTGCAATTAAAGGTACTCTACAAGTGTTTGGAGCAACTTCTAATTTGTTAGTGTAGTTGAATTTTCAACAACGTCTTCCAAAGGACATTCTGTGCCCCAGTCTGAAATTTCAGGGCTTGTGGTTCGTCATTTGTTTGCTTTTGGGGGGAGAGGGTATCACTGATGCAATCGTGAAATCTGCTGATATACTCAGGAGCATATTTCTCATCATGTGACCATCACCGAATGTGTTTTATACAATCTGTGTCTTTGAGGCTGTAAGAGAAGTGCTCTTCTCCCCATGTGAAAATGGACACAAATACTACCACAGTGTGATGAATGGATAATAAATTAAGATGGAACGATGGGGACAGTAATATTGAAAGTACCACAAATGTGCTTTAAATGTCCCTTCAAGAAAGGGGACTGAAGAGAAATAGATTTTTTTTTTATTTATACTAAGAAAATCATATTGTAATTCATCTGCAGTATTTTGATAAGTGATTGTAGTTTATTTTCTAGTTGAAGTAGGCTTGTTTTGTTAAGGTACTGGCTTCCGTCCAACTTTTGCTGTGTTCTATATTTCATGGTCTGCTTACTCTTATTTTCTCTTCTCACTATTTTGTGCAGCCTCTGCTCTGATGAACAAAATGCATCTATCATTTTGCTTTGTGGCTTGTTTATGTTGTTAGTTTTTCTGGCAACTAAATAATATTAAAATGGATTATTTATAATAAAAAAACACTGAAAAGCATAGCTTGTTGTATCTGTACTCATTCACGAGCAGCCAGTTCACGGAGACGTCTGTGATGTATTTTGGAGGGAATCTGGAAGGATGACTAAATTTTGCTTATGTTGGGATCTTAGTGGTAGGGAATCTGGAAGGATGACTAAATTTTGCTTGTGTTGGGATCTTAGTGGTAGAGAATTTGATAGGTCATTATTCTATTGTACAGTCCTATTGTATATGGTGTTCAGCAATAATATGGGGATTAAGCACTCTGTTAGAGGTGGGTGATACATCAAAAATATCACATTACAATACTTCATTTTTAGAAGAGACAAAGAACCACTATTAACCTCAAAACTACAAATACAGCGATTTTATTAAAGCACACTGACCTGTTATAAGACTAATTTGGCTCTCTTTGTAATTACGCATGCCATAGGTCAATGTGCTTTAAGTACTAACAATAAAAGGATGCTGTGATAAAATATGATGTCAGTTGGCACGGTAATGATAAATATCATCATATTACCTACCGTATACATTCTATACCTAGTATTGTATAGTATTGTGTAGTATTCTATACCTGATGGTGTAAAAACTACATATCCCAGTTGTCACGTACTCCGAACACGTACTCACATGCCGAATTAAAGAACATACCCTCTACTGAATATACTTTGCTCTACCTTGCTCTTGCTCCTAGTTTTCTGTGCCAGATCCCATCTGCAGATGGACCATGGATTTCCTTACAAACAGGAGACAGCAGAGGCAGCTTGGTAAACACGTCAGACCCCCGGACCCTCAGTATTGGAGTGCCACAGTGTTGTGTGCCCTCATCACTTTTCTTTAGTCTCTACACTAACTACTGTTATAAAGGAACAAGTTGTGAAGTTCTTAAAGTTTACAGATGACACTACTGTGGTGGGCCTGATAGTCAACAGTGATGAGTCTGCATACAGAAAGTTGAGCAGCTGTGGTCCTGGTGCAGCAGCAACCACCTGCTGCTGAACATACGAAAAGCTGTAGGGATTCTGGTGGACCTCAGGCACAACTCCCCCTCTCTACCCCACCCCCCAACATCAGTGGCTCTGTGGTTTCCGCTGTGTTGTCAGTCACTGAAGTTCCTGGGCACCACCATATCTAGGGACCTGAAGTAGGAGAGGAACACCAGGAAAGCACAGCAGAGAATGTTCTTCCTGAGAAATTCAACCTACGACAGAGCCTGTGTATCCAGTTCTACACAGAGATCGTACAGTCCATCCTCACATCCATAACCATCCGGTTTGGTTCCTCCACCTCACAAGAACAAGCCAAACTCAGCACATACACAAAACAGCAGAGAGGACCACTGGATGTAGTCTGCCAATACTTAAGGACTTCTACAACAGCAGGCAAAAAGCACGCTGGCAAAGTTACAGCTGACCCCTCTCATCCTGGATGTCACCTCTTCCAGAAACTTCCCACTGGTAGAAGATTCAGGGCCATCAAAGCTAGCACAACCAGACATGCTAACAACTTTTTCCCCAGAGCTGTAGCTCTTATTAACCACAGTGGAGACACACTTCAATTTTAAACTGAATCTAACAAACCTCCCTTACTGTATTACGGTATACAGTTGAAGTCATAAGCATACATGTTAGGTTGAAGTTACTGAAACTTATATTTATCCTCTCAAGTTTAGGATATCTATTTTATACATGACAATTTTTCCAACAAATGTTTCACCATATCAAAATTGCAGTGGGTCAGAATTTTACATACACCAAGTTGAATGTGCCTTTAAATAGCTTGGAAAATTCCAGAAAATGACATCATGGCTTTAGAAGCTTCTGATAGGCTAATGGACATCATTTGAGTTAATAGAAGGTGAACCTGTGTTTCTGTATTTGAAGGGCTACTTGCCTCTTTGCTTAGCATGGGAAAATCAAAAGAAATCAATCAGGACATGAGAGAAAAAAAAAAACTTTATCCTTGGGAGCAATTTCCAAAAGCCATGTTCATCTATACAAACGATAAGATGCAAGTTTTAACACAGTAGGACCATGCAGTCATCATACTGCTCAGGAAGGAGACACATTCTGTCTCCTACAGATGAAAAATACAAATCAGTCCAAGAACAACAGCAAACAACCTTGTGAAGATGCTGGAGGAAGGAGGTACAAAAACATATACATCAACAGTAAAATGTAAAAAGGAAGTTAAAGCTTAGGTACATATGTGTGTTCTAAATGGACAATGACCCCAAACATACTTCCAAAGTTGGCAAAGTGGCTTAAGGACAACAAAGTGAAGGTAGTGGAGTGGCCATCACAAAGCCCTGACCTCAATCCCATAGAAAATTTATGGGCAGAACTGAAAAAGCATGTGCAAGCAAGGAGGCCTACAAACTTGACTCAGTTACACCAGTTCTATCAGAGGAATGGACCAAAATTCCAGCAATGTATTGTGAGAAGCTTGTGGAAGGCTACCTAAAACGTTTGACCCAACAATTAAAGGCAACGTTACCAAAAACTAACCGTGTGTGTGTGTGAACTTAGGAGCCACTGGAAATGTGATGAAAGAAATAAAATCTGAAATAAATCACTGTCTCTAGTATTATTCTGACATTTCACATTCTTCAAATATAGTAGTGATCCTAACTGACCTAAGAGGGAATGTGTACTAGGATTAAATGTCAGGAATTGTGAAAAACTGAGTTTAAATCAATGTGGCTGAGGTTTTATTATTCTCTTATTCTCTATTCTGTTTATTGTATTCATATTTATTTGTCCCTTAGCTAAATACTTGTTAATAGTCTGTGTGCTGGTCTGGCCTGTTTAGTATGTTACATGTCATACATGTGTGCATTCACCATGACAGATTCTGTGTATGTTCAACACTTGGTAAAATAAAGTGATACTGATTCTTCTGTTTTGGAGCAACCCTTGACAACCCTCTGAGAAAGCATTTGACCTGTGATATTTTACATTTTCCTAACATTTGGTGATAAAATATTATAGCATTATGTATTTACACCAATCAGGCGTAACATTATGACCACCTCCTTGTTTCTACGCTCATTGTCCATTTTATCAGCTCCACTTACTACATAGGTGCACTCCATGGGGGTCCTGACCACTGAAGAACAGGGTAAAAGGGGGCTAAAAAGGTATGCAGAGAAACAGATGGACTACAGTCTGTAATTGTAGAACTACAAAGTGCACCTATATATGAAGTATATATGCACCTATAAGGTCATAATGTTATGCCTGATCGGTGTATAAAAGAAGTACATATAAGATTTGCAGCAATTTTTGTGAAAATGCAACCATGGGCCTCAACTGGTACCACTTTTAGGGGTATTCACACAGTGGCCCCATTTACACCATACAGACAGTGGTTCCATCTACAGATCTGAGGACCCTTTACGCCCCCGACACTTGATCCAGCTCCCCAGCTGCTTATCAAAACCTTAGTGGTTTGGTGCAGGGAATACACCCAATAGAGTCTGCAGGTGTCCCTATTATAGTTATAGCCTATGTATTCATACTACAGTTTTAAATAACAATTTATTTAGTTCATACATAAAATAACTTAATGTGTACTTTTATGTGTTCCTGGCTAATTTCAAATACCGTCTATACGTAGAATCACAATCACCGACCTTGAAGGTCGCTTTGGCGGGTTTCTGATGGTTGAATCAGCTCAAACTGAATTTTAGTGCACGATTTGTGTGTAAAAGATATATTTCAAGACTAATGCAATGCATTATTTATACAGTAGGGAGATGCGTGATATTCAGAATTAGTCTTGTTTGATCTTGCCTTGATAGGCGGCGCGCACACAGTTTATTTTTGGACTCTGTCTTTTTGGCCTTATGGCGTGTTCATACAGCCGAGGCGCCCCAGGCCATTCACTGATCTCCAAACGCTCCCCGCAGCAAATCGAGTCATTTCGGAGGGCACTTCCGGTGGAGAGCGCTTGGAGATCAGCAGCCGCTCAGAGCTCCGGTCTGTGTGATCTCTGCTCGGGGCCGCAGTGTAGCTCCACGCCATGGCTGACGAGGTTGCCAAGGCGCAAACTGCGCAGCCCGGAGGAGATACGATTTTCGGGAAAATAATTAGGAAAGAAATACCATCTAAAATTATCTACGAAGACGATCAGGTAAATTCTGCGTATTGAAATGTTAAATAGCGTTAACTTCCGCGAGCCTGCAGCGTTATAAGCTAACTTTAGCTTTCGGTATCTGCCTGTATGGTTGCAGGTAACGTTAAGTTAGCTTTTTAATCTGAGGACCGTCCATGCGTGTGGATAAATAACTGCATGTGTGTTAAATATAAGCCCGTTTATCTTGTCCTTAAATGCTAAAATGTGTGTATTTCTAACAAAATGTTATCATACGAGGTGCGGTGCATTTTCATTGCTGTTAGCCTGTTTGCTAACGCCTTGCAGCCGCAGCCAAGTTGCCTGGATATCATATTAAAAGTCAGTAGCTCGTTTGGTTAGCTCCTGAAATGATTAGCCCCTGGGTTGTATTGTGAACGGTAAGGTAGGTAAAACGTGTGCTGAAGAGAAATCTGCACAAACCCGTTTTAGCTTGTGTAACTGTCAGTCTTATCACTGTGAGGGCATCAGGGCTGAAATTCACTGCAGTCGTATCAAAGTGGGTTTTGGTGCTGTGGTCTTTTCTGAAGGCACTACGCTCTTTTCCAGTCATAACTGACTGGACTGCAATGCTTGCGTTCAATCCTGTGTTTAATCAGTGTTATTTTTCGAAATCTTCAGTTAAGTTTTCATACATAAAACATAAAAATGAGGGAAAAAGTGTTCAAGTTTCTAAACATTGCAAAATCTTATTGTGCCACGTATTGTGAATTATATATTTGTATTGATTCCACTTCTGTTTTCTTTTGTCCTCAAGTGCATAGCCTTCCATGATGTGGCCCCGCAGGCTCCTACTCATTTTTTGGTAGTGCCGAGAAAACCTATAGCCCAGCTTTCCAAAGCTGAGGACGGTGACGCTGCAGTAAGTATGGACCCTTTTAGAGCTGTTCTAGCTTGTCACACGGTTTGTCTTCTTTTGTAGGAGGGGGCAGAACAGGACATGCATAAAACAACACTGAATACATTTTATAACCCACAAGTGTTTTATAGTCATGTTCTCCTTTTTTGTGTATTTATATTAGATTTTCTTGGGCAGAACACACAAACTAGAGCAGTTTCTCTAATGTTTTATGCATTGTTTGGATTGGAAGCCCCCTGATTATCATCATCAGATCATGTGCCGTTGGTGCATCACCTGACTGATAAGTTCGGTGGGAAGATAGCAGGTCGACTCTGAGCACTGCAGGGAGTTTGGTAGAAATGTGTGCTGCAGAGCAAATCACCGATGATAGTTTTCTAATTAACGGCCTACTTAATTGCAATTCTGCTAAACTCAAATGCGCATTACTTGCTTGGAAAGAAGCATCATTAGACACACAGTCAGCAGATCTGTCTTCACCTGGAACAACTTCGATGTGCTTCTCTATTCAGCAGCATATTGAGGAGCGCCAGCAAGCAGGTACATTGGTATTTTTGTCAGTTCAGCACAAAAAAAAGTTCCACACCGGAGCAGCAAGTAAATAAAGAAATGAAGGTTTTTCAGTGAGCAAAGCAGAGCGCAAATCTGTTTTATGAAAGTTATTCCAAAAGGTTTCAGTGGTTCCAAAAATTAAAATTTGCAGAAGTTTCTTCTAAAATGCTTTGAACAATTTACTTATTTATTTTATATGCCATGAATTTGGCTATTCATAATTAAGCCCATGAGCTCCATCAACGTGCCCACCAATTGTATACCACGTCTTTTCTGTTTGTTGGTTTGTTTGTTTTTTTTATTTGTAAAGCTAAGGTTTCCATCAATTAATTTAATATTTTCAGCACAGAATGAAATTTGACAAATAAAACAGTAATGATAAAAATATTCGCTTTTTCATTTTGTTGGTGCAGTGAGGGACCCCAGGGGAATAATTGCTTTTAAATTGCATCAGTCAGCATTAGGAACTTTCACAAAATGAAAATATTAAGCTGTTTCCTTGTTTCATACTTTGTGAAAATGTTAGAAATGCATATATAAAATTTCACCTTTACCTACATCATGGTTACAATGTGACAAAAGAGAAGAAGGGAGAAAAAGAAACGCAGTTGTCGGTCGATACCGGTGTGATTCCAATATTATCATGCATCTCTACTTTTCAGCCAGATGGTTCTGAGTAGTCATATTCCAGGTGATTTTATTTGGTTTAGATTTTATCCAATATTAGGTTGCTTTATAACTCTCTCTCTCTCTCTCTCGCTCTCTATAGCTTCTTGGGCATTTGATGATCGTCGCAAAGAAGTGTGCAGAGCAGGTGGGATTACCCAGAGGCTACCGACTGGTGCTGAATGACGGCCCTGATGGGGGTCAGTCTGTTTACCATGTCCACGTCCATGTTCTGGGTGGCCGTCAGTTGGGCTGGCCCCCAGGCTAACTGCTCGAGTCCTAGTCACCACTTCAAGTCACGTCAGTAGTTTGAACAGTAATCGAACAGTTGTATGGTCTTTGCACCAGATAGCCATGCTAGTTCTGTAATGTCATGTTAGTCTGTTATGAGGATACAACAGGGAAAATTCAATAAATGCACTTACCATCTCCCACACCTGTGTTTCTCATTGATTATGCACAGCAGGGCTGTTTTGGGCTTTAAGCAAGCCTCTTACTTGAGACATTTTGTAATAGGTTAACCCATCCAGTAGAGGTCACTCTTGCATTACTAGCCCATCCGTTGCTGTGCAGTTGGTCAGCAACCCGTCTATCCCACCCATCAGTGAAAAAGGACCACCACAGGACCGCTGCTGGGTGGTGGACTCTTCTCAGCACAGCAGTGATACCAGCATGGTAGTGGTTAATATCCTTTTGTTTATTCTGTCTTTTTATATGTCGTCTAGTCTTACTGCTTGCTTTCCTTTCTCATCTTTCCATGACTGCCTGAGCTCATCCATCTGCTGGTCCCCTGACATCATTCTCAGCAGTAGCTATGCCAAGTCCTTTTTTGTGGCCTAAAAATAAGATAATCCTACTTGTGCTCCCAGTTTTTCATGCACTGACAGAGGACTTTATCTCACAGCACCTATAGTTTTTGAGGAATGTAGTTTTTAATTTTACACCAAACCCAAAGTAATAGCTAACTTACTTATGTTCAGATGTGCCTTTCTAGACCGTGTGGAGGGTTCAGTATGCTGGAAAGACTCCTGTTGCAGGTCAGCCCATGCAAGGCAATGGGACGTTACAAGACATTAAGAATTATTAGGTGTTATCTGACAAAAGCGCAGTAAATGTTCCAGACTTCCACAGGTTACGAGGATTAGTTTCAGTGAGTCTGTTCTATATAGCAGTGTGTGCACACTAAGCAGTTTATGGTGATGTCAGTAGTTCCACCTTTGCTAAAATGTAAGAACCAGCTCCTCTTAAAGACATAAGCTATTAGTTATTACACTAAAATAGAACAAGGAAGACTGTCTGTTTTATAAAAGTTTCCTAGTAAGTAAAAATGGTGTAGAGTTGCACCGGGAAAGATGGGAATCTCATCTGATATGGGAAAAAGTATTTTAATAAAATTGTAAGTTAACAAATGAATTACAACACAAACCACATGACCCTGAGAGAAACCTTATTTAACCTAATGTTTTGCATGAAGCAAGTATCTAGACGTGAGTAGAACAGTGGGGGTTACACACTTAGCAAAATAGGGTGCTCTATGGGATAAAAGGAAGGTTCTTTGCAGGACAAATTTTGGTGCTATATAGAACCGTTTTTAAAACCTACAGGCGTAAAACAGTTTCTTTATCATGGAAACGAACCATTTAAGCATTCAGATGGTTCTTTGAGTTGTCCTATATAGAACCGTTTCCTCTTACTACAGAGTGTAACAAACATCAGTTCCTATGAATGATCATAGTATTTTTATGTAATCATACAAAAAATATTTTATATTTTTGTGCTTCTACTCTTTGACTTTAACTTAAGTCTTTATTTCACAGAAGCAGCAGTACTTTGACCTGAGTATGGGTTTCGCTTACTCTACTCACCTCTAACAGCTACATCCAATTTTACATCTATACTTTTGTTAGAAGCGTAAAATTGACTCGATCCCAGTTTCAGATTCGCCGTTTAAAACATGAGCCAATCCGGAGTCCGAGGAGGAGAGGACTTCATAAATATTAATTGAGCGGGAAGCGCTCTAACCAATAGGAACGAGAAACGGCGGTATGCTAATTAACATTTGACAGTTGCGAGAAAGTCCAGCCTTCGTCCGGAGGAGAGATGGAGAATGAGAGGAGTGGAGTCGAGTGTTGTGCTGGTATTGTTCAGTCGCTGAGTCTCAAACTGAGGATACTGTTAAAATATGATGGAAAACTGCGAATATATAGTCAGTAACAGCCCGGCTACCGCCAGGGTTTAAACACAGGGTCGTTTTTGTTCGTATTTTACGTGTTTCAGGGTCTAAAAACAGTTCAGCGATGCATCGGGCGTTTTCGTTCCCCGCGGCCGGAGAGCGGAGCCGCTATAAGGAGCGGCTGGAGGCGAGTCTGGCGGGGCTGCTGGAGCTGGAGGTGCTGAAAGAGCGCCAGGAGGGCCTGGTTTTGGGAGCTCTAGCTCTCGGCGATTCGGGCTGTGGGCGACCGGCATGGGGGCTCCTCCGGCACGGCTTCAGCCTCACTTCGGCCAGAGCCGGGGAGAAGTCGGCTTTGGCAGAGCAGCAGCAGGTAAGCTGAGGGTCCAGGGTTCACAGAGCAGGCTGTGATTTTTCAGAGGGTCAGATAGAAACTGATGTTGTCGGTGGGTCGTTGCTAGTTTTCTTCACTTAGAAACTAGAAGTCTGTACAACCAACTGAACTTTAATAAAGTTGCTAGTGGCTCTTGCTCGGTTGGCCAGAACCAGCAGTGAAAAGTCTGTTCAGAGGTAAAAGTTGCTAGAGGCTCTTAGGTTGGTCAGTTTGAACAGTCTGTTAAACTCATAATAAAGGGTCCATATCAAACCAGATTTCCTCACTTTTTAAAATGAAAAGAGTTTGAGGTTATATGCAAACATTGACTGTACCGTTAATTCCCCATTACATACACTTCATATATGAACACTAACCTGCAAAGCAGCTCATTTTCAACTCCTTGTTTTTGTGATGTCACAAAAACCGTCACACGTCCACATATCCACAGCCGTTTAGCCACACGCAAACACGCTGATGTTACAAGCCTAGACTGCTTTCTGGATGAGGTAGCCAATCAGAACAGAGGTAATTTGCATATCAGTCTTAAAGGCATAGATAAAAAAATCCTCCTGTTTAGAGGATGAGGAGGATAAAAAATAGTCATAAAACATTTATTATGACTGCTTTTGGTGTATAAAACCACACAAGTGTTAAAAATTGGCCTTTTAAGTTGCATAAGGGTGGGCAATATGGCAAAAATACAACATGATGAATAATTCTGTCTTTATAATGAAACACAGCAGTTGGTCAGTGTTCTTTAAATACTGAAGATATCCACAAAATGCACAGAAAGGATATTGTGACATAATGTGATGTAGTCTGCCATGATAATAATAAATATCATCATATTGCCCACCCCTAGTTGCTAGCATTTTTTGCAAATTTGATCAGTTTAGAATCTAAAATCTTCATTTCACAGAAAAGGTTTGCCTTTAGGTTTTTTTTTCACATAACTCACAGTGTTAAAACATGTGATGAACACGCTCATAACCATAAAATGCTTAAGACAAAGGCAATAAATAGTGCAACACATCAGATACCAGCATAAAAACATAAAACAGCCATGAAGATGAAACTCCCTTCCAGAGTTCTGCTCAGGGTCAAGCAGTGAAGCCATGGAGAGAAATGTTATCTAACCAGAACAGACATTCAGAGTTACAAAGGAGTTTTAGGATAAATGGTTTTTAAAACGGGGCCCTGCTGTCTCTCTAAGGTTAATGCTTCATAAATCAAATGAAAAATGCAAATGAGCTCATGGTATGCAGGCCTTTACATGCTGGCACTGACCCACTCAAATGTTTCACTGGCTCTGTGGTGCAATTTTTGGCAGAGCTCAGCCCACAGGTGAACTGAGGATGATTGTGAGCGTGTGCTGTAAAGCCGTTCACTGACAGTTTATGAGTAACTCTCACTGAAGATGCTGTTTACAATCAATTAGTTACAAGACAAGTGTTCCTTAGTAATTGGTGATACTGACCGAATGTAATGTGCTAATTATGCTAGATGTATCATGTTATCTGATTAGATTTTAGTTTGCATAATAAAGCTGATGACCCTATGTTTTCTGAGTACTGCACGCTAAAAGAAGGCCTTATGAACTTGACATAAGTTGTTGTGATTGGATTGTTTTCTTCTTTTAAAATGACATGCAGTATTATAACCTTACCCCGACAGAAACAAGGTTTTTTTAAAGAAAGCTCACATTTTTTTCGTTTAAACTGTATAGCAAATTATATAGAGATGATACATTATCAAATATAAGGTTAAAATGTAAATCAAATCCAAACGTCAGTCCAAAGACGATATTGTCTTTAAGCAATTATCTGCCGATACTGATATGATTTCAATATCATCGTGCATCTCTAAAATTCAAGTATTGTGCAGAAGTCAGGGACCATTTTTTGATATTTTTCAGTGAAAATGACCATAAAGTACAAATTATTCATAGAGATATTTCTGAGGAGACTAGATATAAGTTAATCCAGTTAGATAATGAAGGGAAAAGTCAAAATAAAATATTTGAAAAGAAAACAAGAGCTTTCAAAATTGAAAAAAAATGATTAAAAGATATGGAGAAAATGAGACTCCTAACAACCATGCAAGACTTGGTAGACCGCCGAAACTGTCCCCATCAGATACACAGCACTTAAAGCTTTCATCTTTGAGAGAAAATCAAGCTCCACTCTTGCTTCAGATTCTCAGAACATTTGACTGGCCACCCCAGATTCCAGACCGCCACATCATTGAACGTGTTTGGATTACTTGGATCGTAAAAAATCAGAAAATGCAACCAACTTCTAAGACTGAACTTTGAAGGAGTGAAAAAATAAACCCTGCGGATTTCTCTGAAAAACTAAAAGCAAGTCTGAAAAGAATAGAAGCTGTAATACAGGCACAGAGTGGACACAATAAAAACTGAACAAAACTGAAATTATATTTAGTTGTTGAGGCTTTTGTGCCGTTTTCTTTTTTTCTGCTTTTGTCCTGCTGTTGAAAAATTAATAACTTGTACCTAATGGCTGTTTCTACTATTAAAATTAAACATGTGAATTGTTCTCTGGCTTACGCTTGATATTATCTATCAATATTGCTAAAAATAAAAATCAATCAATGCTGGTAAAGCAATCTAAATTATATATTGTACAGCACTAGTGATACTGAGCTAGAATTATATGAAATATGCCAATACTAGAACAATATGGCAAACAAATGTCTTCAAGTGATGTGATGGCACTGAATACCAACAACAACACAGCACAGGACACTGCGTCTAATATAGAGCGGCATGTACAAATTGAAGGTATTCAGGGACACATATAGGTTTGTTATCTATGCCAAAGTAGGGCCACTGCAGCAGCTTAATCTCATTCTTTGAGTGTGTGACAGGCCCTGGTGGAAGCAAGTGGGGGGTCTGTGTACCAGCAAGCTGCCATGTGTTTGTGTCTGTGCATGTGTGAGGCCCAAGAGGCTATCAAGGCCAGAAAAGATATGCAGTAGGCCTGCTGCTTAACACACACCGGTTTATTCCTGGCATCATGACACTGACAGCAATCTGACAGTAAGCAACAGCTGGGAAAGCACCGGTCATACTGTCCAAATTCCCAGCATACGTGTGGGTGGCTCTGGGAGTGTGTGTCTGTCTGTGAGTGCATTGTGAAGAAAATTATCTCCTTGAGCAACTGTGACGGTGGGCCGTGTGCACGCTTCATCAGTATTCCCCCCTCATATCCAGTGGCTGAGTGTGACCGTAGATTGCAGCTGAAGTGTTGGTGTTCTGATTGAGGGGTCCTGAAAGAGGCTGTGGGTGTTGTGCTTGGTTTAGTGGGCTCCTTGCAGATCTGGTGCGCTAGGTGCAAACTTTACACTGCTGGGTGCAAATACTTTTCACCTTGAAGTGCGCAGTCTCTGTACAGCCTTTGATAACTGAAGGGTGTTGTTAAGCTGTGGCTAGTAGTGATTATTTTCTATAAATATCAGTTATAATATAAACTCTAGAGTAGAAATCTTCGTAGGAGTTTTTTTAGTTGTATAGTTGTTATAGTAGTTATTTTTACTATAAATTCATTTTATACTCCTGTTCTTGATATAACATGGTATAAAACCTGATGACAATCATACTGTTGATGATAGGTGGGCATGGTGGGAGGTTGAGGGGAAACATATTATTGGTCAAAGCTACACTATGTAAGTTTATGGGGAGGTGGAGACCTCTCTGGTGGAAATGTGTAATTGCATGCAATGAGCAAAAGAACATTTTGTTACGTTGTTTGTGCTTCGGACCCCCACGAGCGAAATAATCTGATGAATGCCCTTTGAAAAAGCCTTAAAAGAGATTTCAGGTGCTTCAAAGGTTTTTTAGTAAAGAAAATGGTTCTATATGGAACAATGAGTACTCAGAGAACCCTTCGCAGGTTCAAGAAAGGGTTCATCAGGTTGATGGACAATGTGCATGAATGTGCTATAAACGCTTCTACATAGAACCTTTTTAAAAAAGGTTCTATATAGCATCCAAAAGGGTTCTTCTATTGTTACAAGCTTGACACCATAACAATAGAGGAGGTGCTATATAGAACCATTTTCAAAAAGTTTCTATATAGAACCATCTACAGCACATTCTCCATCAGTCTGAAGAACGCTTTCATGATGCAAAGAAGCTTTTAATCATGCAAGGGGGTTCTTTGAGTATTCATGGTTCTATACAGAACCATTTTCTTTACTAAAGAACCCTTATAGCACCATATTTTTAAGAGTGTATTCAAAGAAAACTCAGTCAAAACGGACTTGTCTTCAGAGGATGTGAGTGAATTATCTACTATTGTCATCATATTTTCATCAGCGTAATGTTGATCTTGCATTTGAGACCTGAACATTAAGCTGGTGTGTGTGACGTTAATACGTAAAGACGTGTAACTTGGTCCAAAAAACTCCCGACACCTTTGACTTTTAAATTTCTGTTTCAGGCTTTACAGGGTGACTTGCAGCAGCAAACACACCATATTTTAGCATGTTTTTTTTTTTCGCCTCGCTCAGTAATACTACTTCTTTTTTTTTTTCAATTTGAACAAAAAATCTGACGTAGTGCAGCTCTGAAATTATTTTCCCCCCAATTACTGGTTTACATTGATGTTATTATAAAGCAGCAAAATCATTTCAGAGGTGGGACAAAGGTCATTAAATTTCCAAGATCAGTTAAAGAATATTGTCTTTAAAGCGAAATGATTTGGTGAATCATGCTTACTTTGATGTTGGGAATGAACTAACAAGGAAAAAAGGTCCATTTTGATTTGAGGCGGACTTTAATAATTCTGATAACTATGTGCGTTTACCAGTTATCTTTGTAAAAAGTCACAGTGGAAGTCAAGAGTCTCCCCGCAAAGCAAGTTCACATAGTTATAATCCAAAGAGTAAACAGTTGGTTATTACTTAATATTTATTTAAATTGTAGTTTGTAGTGAGCCTGTCCCATTCACAATATTTGTTGATGATGATTATTTTCC